AAATATATACACTTTTTGTTATTGTATCCCCACCATAGAAATGTCATCACGTCGCAGTTAGAGCTGATCAGCATTTCGGTGTAGCTAGATCACAATTATTCCTGGCTGGCTTTTGCACATTGCACTGGTTTAGTGGAAAGACAGCCAAATAGATTGCAAGCTCCAGAGTAAGGTTTGAAGTACATGGATCTGTTCACTAATTTGCAGAAAGGAACTAACACAAGTTCAAATAGCTACAGCAACCTGGATGATGCAATTAGAGTCTTACTTTTTCTTCTTTTTTTTTTTTTTGTTACAGCAAAGTTAGGAGTTCAAGAGGAACAGCAAACTAGTAAATAATCGGTCTTGGGCAGCTACATCTGGGGCAGAAAAAACCGACATCCCAAGCTAATGTCATCCATAGAACAAGCATCAGATCACTTACTGACTTCAGGAAAAATAAGTTTGTTTTGACACGTAGGATAGTAAAAAAAGAAAAAAAAGTTGGATAGGAATTGTGCAGTTAAATTCCTCTGCAAAATCCATGGGCGGGAAGCTATTTATTATATAAACACGTTGAGTTCCTTTTCGTGGGGAAAGCGGATTTAAAACAGTGAATGTCATTGTCTTAAAAAAAAACAGTGCTAATGTGTGAACCTCCAGAGCCAGCACAGTTCAAGGTGAAGTGGATTAACCATTGAGGCTCCACAAGCTTCACACCTTTTTTCATCAACATCTCATTATAGGATCCCTCTGATACCTTATCATAGCCATGCTCGCAAATTGACCTATTGGCAAGCTAAGCATCATACATCCAGCAGATAGCACTCCCAAGCCATTATGATGTACTTCAATTATCTCCTAGAATTTGTACAAAAAAAATGCATTCTTGTAAAACCTCAGGGAGGAAATGGAATGATGAGAATGTCTACAATGATCCACTCTTTTCGTTTTCCCTTTAATTCGGTTAGGAGGGTTGCGACACATTTTTTATTTAAAGTAAATTTGTATTTCATTAGAGCTGGTTGTGCTTGGATCTCAAGTACCCCCCCAGGGTCTCCCCCCCCCCCCTCTCTATAGAAAAAAAAGTTTACTGTCCCTGCTAAATGTCTTCTTTCATAGCAAGGTGAGGTGTTCCCGGCTAGTGAGCAGCCTTCCAGAAACAATAGGTCTTTTATGAGAACAAATGTTGACATTTGAAGGGAGCAAGGAAAAGCTCCAGCTAGACGGGAGCAAGGCAGTTGTGAGTGAAAATCGCCCCTAGTCCTTTCTGACAACTGCATCGTGTCCCGGGGAGCCCACCTGAGATTAAACCTATTTACACAGAAAGCCACCTCAATAAAAGGCTCAAAGGCAGCACCTGAAAGGTCCATGTCACAACCTGTATAGCAGAAATACATAGTCAAACATCCAAGGCTGGGGATTAGGCACACCACACACACACACACTTTCCAGAATTAATTTTATTATATATATATAAAATATATATATATATATATATATATATATATATATAGGTGTGTGTGTATGTGTGCAGCAGATTAAATAATTCAATAATAGATACATACATAAATACTTACACACATTGAATTACATCTGTGTGTATGTGTGTGTTCAGCAGATTCAATAGTAGGTACATACATACCTACCTACACACATCTTAAATTGCATCTGTGTGTATATGTGTGTTCGGCAGATTAAATAGTAGGTATACACATACATACCCACACACACACACACCTTGAAATACATGTGTGTGTATATGTGTGTGTGGTTTTAGCTGATAAAAAAGTACAAACATACACATCCCCTTTCCCTGAATTATGTTTGTGTGATTGGTATCAGCTGATTTACAAAAGTACACACATTGACAAACACACATACATACACCTTTTACCCTGAATTACGTGTGTGGTATCAGCTAATTAAAAAAAAAAGCACACATACACACACATGCTTTTCTCTGAATTACATATGTGTGTCATATTAGCTGATAAAAAATAAGTAAACAAAAAAAACACATACATACACCTTTCCCTGAATTATCTGTGTGTTGTATCAGCTAATTAAGAAATAGGTACACACATACACAAACTCACACATACACCTTTTCCTGAATTACATGTGTGTGTTATCAACTGATTAAAAAATAAGTACACACATACACAAACACACACATACCCTTTCCCCGAATTACGTGTGTGTGTGTGTGTGTGTGTGTGTGTGTGTGTGTGTGTGTGTGTGTGTGTGTGTGTATGTGTGTGTGTTATGTGTTATCAACTGATTAAAATTTAAGTACACACATACCCCTTTCCCTGAAGTACGTGTGTGTGTTATGTGTGTTATCAACTAATTAAAAAATAAGTACACACATACACAAACACACATACCCCTTCCCCGTATTACATGTGTTTGTATGTGTGTGGTATCAGCTGATTTACAAAATAAGCAAACACACTTCCAAGAATTCTTTAAATATATATATTGTAAAAAACTGTACCGAATCTGCTGTCTCACACACACACATGAACACTTCCCACAAATAAATACATATATATATATATATATATATATATATATGTAAAATAGAAAGTTGTTCATTTACTCATTGTGTCTGTTCCCAGTACTGATATCACTGATGGCCCTGGACAAAAAATCTTCTCATTTCCTGTGAACACACACTGGACTGATAGCTGAAGTATTAAAGATAACTTTCAGATGCCCTTTTTAACAAGGCAGAGCAAGATGTCACTGGTTTCCACTGCACTAAAGGCCACTGGAGAGAGATCTGTTTGTCAATATCAACTGGTCCAGCAATTTTCCATCCTCACACTCATGGGTCTATCTAAGTTGGCAGATGTTTAGACACGACTTTATAAATTGCTCAATATCAGCCCATATTAAACCCCAACTGACCATTCCTAAACAACTAAAAGCATACAGGATCTCCCCTGCTGGGATCTAATAATGCTCTTACACTGGAACGTTATTAATCATGGAATGAAATAGACGAGGCTCTTGAAAAATAAGTGTATGATTGATTAAAGGGCATTCTAAGAAGCTGTTATTCTTGTTTTATTACCACATGCTATATACACTCAATTTATCTTGGTGGGGAATGGATAGGCTTTTATTTATTTTTTTTTTCCAAGCAAGCAAAGGCAAGTTATCTAGTGACTGCGCTGAACGAGACATACCTTCTCCCTTTGTTTAGTGGTCACGGGGTGTCAGTGTCACTTTCCTCCCTATACCATACCTGCAAGTGACCGGGGACCTGGCCACTTGTCCATGTGCATGCTAAGGATGGTCATGAGAAAATAAGATGGCGTTGGCAATGCGATAGGAAGGTGGGGGTGAGGGTTGTGTGTGTTTGGAATATAATGATAATAATATTAATCATCATCATCATCACCACAAATGGCAATAGATAAGCTATATATAAAGTCACACTCAAGGAAAAAAAATAGACCTGCAAACCTGTGCTCATATCAAACAGCTCATCAATCTAAAGGGAATTTGTTTTTTTAAAGACTTTATTCATGAACACAATAGGATAATGAAACAATAATAAAGCCACAAACTCGCCTAAAACCTGTCTGGCTGTTTGAATAGAAATATTTCCACACTTGCATATAAGCGGGCATTTTTTAGGCAAAAACCTTTATGTGGTCTGTGCATAGGTTGTAATAGCATGACGATAAAAATTCATTTTTTTTTCGGTCTAACCTGTGTTTATTTACAGTTCAGTATATAAATTATTAAAGAATACTCATCGACAATCAAAGAAACAAAAAGGTCCATAGTGATCATCATCTGTTTTCAAATAAAAACAGGCAGAATTTATTTACAAAACAAGTTTTAAATTTCATTGCAATACAACTTGCATAAATTACTAGAAGCTTTTTTCATATCTTTACAAAAATAAATATGAAATTTTTTTTGTGTTTGTTTTTTTTTCTTTGTCCCACATAATTAAGTACTCCAGTTCATCAGTCAAGACGTACTGTCTCTATGGTATAGATCATTTTAGAAATAAGTTTTGTGTTCTTCCTTTTCCATTCAGTCTTTACAATAAAATTCTACCATACCTATAGAATATTATACCGTGGCAATGAAGTGATCAAGTCAAAGATATCCTGAGAAAAAAAAGATTGCCAAAAAAAAGTCACAATATACATCAGGGTAACTATACTATACCAATCATTTTCACATATGTCCAAGGGAGCTCTCCTTTATTGTTTAAAAAAAACGGGGACAGTCTGTAGATTTAATAGTGCTCTGTGGCTCTTCTTTTATACAGTGGCACAAGATGTGATCCGGATTTAGATACGTTTTACTTATTAGCTCGGGGAGAGAAGATGGCTTGCTGACTTTTTTTCTAAGCAATTGTGACACCTACCTGTGAATCAAGGAAAAAAAAAATCGCTAAATCTTTTTTTCTTCACACAAGACTTTAAAAAAAAAATTATATTTGTATACCCATCATTTCAATACATTCAGATTAGCAAGCAATATATTATCATTCATTTTGGTAGACTTAATCAGAGAGAACTGCAACCACAGATCAGTTCAATGCACTGCATTGAGTAATAGGGTATTATTAAATGTAACAAACTCTCTCTTTCTCTCTCTCTCTCTCTATATATATAAATATATATAAATATATATACATATATATAGACATAGAAGGGGAAGGTTGGAGACGGGTGAATTAATATGGATAACACAATAAAGAATTAAATGGCCCCATAATTACAGGGCTCAGAGTGCTTTTTCACTCATTAATAAATCATTTATCTAAACTGCCTTATTTAATGGGCCACAGACATAAGGCCTTATTTACAATTGGAAGTGATAATATGACATCAAATGATTTAGGCTATAAACTAAACAAGTAATAAAGGAAGCAATTGACGGTAAAGGCATGTTGTTATCTCTACAATAGGTCTTGGAGTCAGTCCCAAATGATCAGAGCAACAGAGACTGTTTTTACTTACTTCCATTGCTGTCTGATTGCACATCTATAGGTATGGCTGCACTCCTACTGTGCAGACTTCAGTGGGATCTGTCAAAATATAACCGTCAGTTAGTCACAGGACACAGCCAGCTAACTAGATTATAGGTACCAATTCTCCGATGGACTGCCTTTCTCAGCCAAGAGGTTTAGGAGCTACATTAAATGCTATGGTTTCAATTAACATAAATACTCTAATTTAGAACCACAACAAACACAGCGTGACAGCAGGCCAAATGCGTTACACATGGGGAAAGGCTGCATTTCGACTATTGTGGAGCAGAGGTGGCTACTTTCAGTATACTTGTGCATTTAGATTTCATAGGGCAAAGCTTGTGCATAGTCACTTTTACAGACAATCATTTCTGGCTTTACTTCATACACACATACAGCAGGAAGAGCTAACACTATTTGAATGATTTTTAATATAATAATCATGAATAAAAGCAAATCAGAATGAAATAGATTGTAGTTATGGATGGAACACAGTGTCCTGGGGAGGAGCACACCCACCTTTTTTAGAGTCATAGCTGGCTGACCTGTAGTGCTGATCTATCTGGCTGCTGGCAGTTTTTAGACAGTCATTGCTTGTGTGTTTGTGTAGAGAGTTGCTGCTTAAAACAGTTTGATTTAGTCCCTCACTGGTAGTCATGGTGGCTGAGTTATATCTCAGGATCCCTTGGCTTTGGAGAGCATTGAAATTCCCATAGTTCGTGTAGTTGCTATAAAAAGGCGATGTATAGTAGATGTGCCTTCCCAAGATTGAAGAGGAAGGGTAGGCAGAGCTGTGGGATACTGAAGAGGAGGTGGCAGAGGATACAGCAGACGGCTGGCAGCTCTGTCCTATATTCTGATGTTTAACGTCTGAGGTGGCTATCTCAGCCAGGGACCAAAGTTTAGGTTTGCTGGCCTGGGTCTGAGAAGTTGGAGAAATCCTATTGTCCAAGTTGGCTTTGTTTGAGGATCTGGGGCTCCCCTCATGCTGGTGGTTAAGTATTGGTGCCTCTATGCCTGTAAGGGGTGAGGAGGTCACAGGTTTGAGAGGGAGACTCCTGTTTTCTTCATCCAAATCTTCCTCGTCATCTTCATCCTCATATTTGTCCTTGGATTCAGTGCCTGATTCACAAAGATGGTCTCCAGCTCTGCAAGGCAACTTTTCTCCATCAGACTCGGCAGAACAAGAGTGGTCAGTCAAGGAGTCAACGTGCAAACTAATACCTGGAGGAAAGAAAGAGAAAATAATGATGTGGGACTTAAAATACAGTATGTTCTAATAATTCATCAGAGATTGGGCCCTGTACATTAAAATGGCCAGGGGAGCAGAAAATTAGGATTTTTACCGCCAATACTGCTAAGGTGCTTCCATTACTTTCTCATTTTTTAGAAGACCATCAGGGTTAATTAACATGCCTTATGGTGGCCATACACACTTTAATTTTATTATCCGATTAATTTGCGCTTCAATTGAGGCAACAGAATAAAAAAAAGCAATCAAATGGTGGCCATACATGCTACGATTTTATTAGCTGGTCGATGTGCGATTCGAGCAAAATTATCGAATTAGAAATCAATCTAATGGTGGCCACACACACTTTGTTTTATTATCTGATCAAGGTGTAATTCAATCAAAATGATCAAGTAGCCATAGCTTCTCTTCTGATCCATATAGATTCGGTTTAGATCAGATTCGATCAAACTAATTTGATCTGGGCAGAAAATTATGGATCATTTTGCATCAATTGGCAGCACTGAGATAATTCAACCTTAAGTCGAATTATGAGGTTGCATTGTGGAAACAGGGATACCATGTGTAACCTATTTTCATATCTTCCAACCACTGATCCAATTCCATTTCCCCATGTGTGGCATATCAATAGATTGTGTTGTTGACTATTGATCGAGATCTATCGACTATTGGGTGAGATCTATTGGAAAAAAATTGACCATTTATTGAAGCGTATATGGCTATTATTAAACTAAATATCCAAGGTTCTAGAATTGATGGGCACTATTACAGAAAGATAAAGGCCAGGTAATCACCATGTCCCCAGTCATCAATGAGCTGGCTGAGCAGCCTGGCCTATTACAGTCTACAGGGAAGAATAATAGTCTGGCAGCAAGGCTCACCTTCATCCTCTGCTGAGGTTTCATTGTTATCCTGGATCTTATCAGGATGTTCTTCCTTGCCTCTTTCTCCATCTCCATCATCGTCGTCCTCGTCCTCACTTTTATTTCGAGGTGCCCAGGTCATCTTGTTCTCTTTTTTCAGCCTCCTCCTAGCATTGGCAAACCACGTGGAGACCTGGGTGAGGGTCATCTTGGTGATGATGGCCAACATGATCTTCTCGCCCTTGGTGGGATAAGGGTTCTTCCTGTGTTCATTCAGCCAGGCCTTTAACGTGGCTGTAGCGTCCCTAGTAGCATTTTTCCTATAAGCTGGGTCATTTAATTGGTAGGGATAAGCTGGGCTGCCATATGGATGATAGCTGATTGCCCCTGTCATACCAGTGGTATGTGCATCGTATGGAGAACCCTAAAAACACACAAGGAAAATAAATAGATACATTCAGATCATCGCTATAGAGATCCTAAAGCAGACAGTTTATTTCCTAAGCCTTTTTTTATGCTTTTTTTCCACAACATCAAAATTCTAAAAGGGTGTGAAAACACCAGCGAAGCCATAAATTATTTAAATCCAATATTTTTTAACTAAAATTGTATTTTGATTAACCCTATTCCCTTGCTGAATCTTAACGACATCGCAGCTGCCAGAAGCCATTATGTTAAATTTAAACACCTCAGCCGTCATCAAGAGAGCGCTTGTATCCGCCTGGTGTGGATTGGAAAACTAAAAAGATCATTAAATAGATCGCTGGAAAATGACACCGATGTGGATTTGATTGTATTTTGAAAAGAAGCCACAGGTAGCTCCTAATCCTTCAGCTACATTGTAAACTTCAAAAGTGAGAAGAAGTTTTGCTTATCTGAAAGCTGTTCCCTAGAACAATAGGAGCTCCCAACAATTCACTGATCTAATGCATTGTAAATCCAATTTGCAAATCAGAAGATATGCATGACTTCGGATTGTTCAAGTGGCATGCAATTAGCATTTTAATTCGCCCTTTAACGTTCAAATTGCCTTTATTTAACTGTGCATAATGCAGGCGAGTTAAAGATCCCCCTAAAAGCAACTGGAAGAAAGTTTGTACCCACCCAGGATAACTATTTTCTGCTGCCATGACCTTAATGGACTTAAAACTGACTTTTTACAATGTCACAAAAACAAAAACAAAAAAAAAAAAGAAAGAAAACAAGACACCCTGTTTTTTTTTAAGCTTCCACCTAAGCGTAGTAAAGTATCAGAAGCCTTTGAAAAAGGAAACCTACATTTTTATAGACAACACCAACAGCAGTAAACAAAGCACAAATAAATGTCACAAGGTTCTGGAGAACCCCCCCCCCCCCCCAAAAAAAAAAAAAAATGAAAAAAAAAATGTGCCGGTGTCAGTTAAATCCACGACACTCGTTTATGTCATGCATTTAAAAAAAAAAAATAAAAACCCAACATAATATAAAATAACATAAATATTAATGAGATCTTAATATAATAATATCTCAGGGTGCTAAGCAGCAGTGTGATTAAAATAGGAGTGATCCATCATCAAGCTAAGTGATGAATGACACGGTAACTACATAATGCACTAAAGCGGCGTCAAAATATATTTAGCACAACATAAAAAAAAAAAATGCATGATACTTTTCCTGTGTGTTAATCTATTGATTATAGCATTACAGCAGGGAGTTCGAAATTAGGAAAGATATTCATGTGACTGTGAGAGCTTTGTGTTTTTATATATATATATATATATATATATATATATATATATATATTTCATAAAATAAATATTATATATATATATATATATATATGTGTGTGTGTGTGTGTATATATATATATAAAATAAATAATAATAATAACACAGTTTTATATATATATATATACACTACTTATATACTAATGTTTTATATATATATATATTTATTTATACACTACTTATATACTAATGTTTTTATATATATATATTTATACACTACTTATATACTAATGTTTTATATATATATATTTATACACTCCTTATATACTAATGTTTTTATATATATATATTTATACACTACTTATATACTAATGTTTATATATATATATTTATACACTACTTATATACTAATGTTTTTATATATATATTTATACACTACTTATATACTAATGTTTATATATATATATATTTTATATATATTAAATTAGATAATAATTATAAGTGTTAAAAAAAAAATAACAAAAAATAATAATAATGTAAAAAATGTATTTAGATCTATTTTTTTTTTTTTTGTGTAAATACAAACTGTATTAGGAAAACAAGGTGCGGGGGGTGGCCCTAGAACTTCGGCCCCTCTGCTAGGAGTTGGGATGACAATTCAAACAATTTTTTTTAGCTTGGCAATGTCACCCCAAAAAAGTGCTGAGAAAGTATTTGTAGTGGAGAGAAATGTCGTCGTCAGTGGCACGTAAAGTGTAGAGAGAAGAGTCAGCTCTTACCACGTAGGAGGGGAATCCAGCGGGATCACCAGAGTAGGACAGCGGGCTGCTGAAGCCAGTGGCCGTCTGGGCGCTGAAGGCAGCGGATCCCGGGTAAGGACTGAACGCGGAGCCGGACGAGGACCTGGCCAGATCTTCGCTCCTCGGGGCGGCCAGCGCTGAGGCCCCGTATGCCGGACAGGAGTAGATTGCCAAGGAGCCGGGAGGCTGGTAGAGATAACCCTGAGGATAGGACATCGCAGGTCTGTCTGGAGATAACCGGGGCCGGCTGAGTTTACAGAGGGGGATCAGGGTGAAGAAAGGGAGGGGAGGGGGGGGAGAGGTCAATGAAGACAAGCTTCTGCCCTTAGTCTCTCTCAGTTGTGGCTCCTCGCTTCTGTCCTCACTCATGCAGGGAAATAAAAGTGTCTTTG